TATATAATAATATATATAAGTATATATAATATATATAAGTATTAAAAAATATATCGAACTTCTGAAAACTATACGACGAACGTCAAAGCTAATAGACAATACTTCTTGTATTTATCTACAAAACAACTTGAGATATACAGGTATGTGTAACCTGATAAATTCAACGAGCTTACCTCAACTATTTCATTTCACAGTATTCTCAGTGCAGGTTACTTCCCGGTTTCAGCTACTAATATTGTTTACGTTTTTCGCTTTCGCGCCTTCCTAGACCAAATTGAAATCTGCCCGCCACAAGATTGTGTCCATTGTGGCGTGTTTGGTCCATGTTTTGGTAGCGAAACAATGTTTTGACCGTGTAACCTCTTCTCGCAATAAAGGTTGCCAGGAAAGTAACGAGTACAACTGGCTTTGGGAGTCTCCTAGATGTCGGTGCAGCGGTGGAATGTTGTCCTGCGGGGCTCACGGAGAACCTTCTCGACCGCCCCAGGCACTCCGCCACCCCAGACGAAGACGAAATTCGGTACTGCGTTACCAAATATTTAAATGATCAGGTCTTAGTTCGTTTAACCGTCAATAGAATATCTCCGGCTGTTTATTGTATAGCAGTTTGCCATAAAACAGTGCAATTGCTTTTGTCAAGACTGGTTATCTGATATGTCCAAGAGTCTTTAAGGTTATAGTAGAAGTTCAATGCGAATTTATTCTATGTGGTACTGAAATACATGTAGTGCTGTCGTGAATTTTAGTGCTTCAGCTGTGAGAAGTCATGTGTTTACAGTTAACATCATAAAAAAAATGAAATGCATTTGATCAGTTTGTTCAGGAAGTGGGCTTTTATCGGTACTGTTTCACAGGTCCCTTAAAGGATGAAGACCGCATTTTCCAGAATTTGTACGGCCGGCATGACTGGAGGCTTAAGGGGGCTATGTCTCGTGGAGATTGGTAAGACACTCATAATGATATCTGTTTACGACGCCCATTTTTAACCAAGGAGTATCCTTACAGGTTAGTTGCATTGATATCATGATGTATTTTTGTATTCATCTTGAGCGAAAGCTCTTGTGATCAGAACGTCTCGGTGTTGGCTGTTTATGCCGATAAGTGATACGTTTAGCGTGAAACTGCGCCAAAGTAGGTATTCAACAAAAGAGCGAAGCCTTATTTTGTATATTATATAGATTTAGCAAAAGATACAACTTGTGTATTATTGTACTGAATTCTAATAGATGTATTCAACAATTTTTATTGAAATCGTTAAATACGTCATTACAATCGTTAAATTTATTGTAAATCAAAACAGTGCGCAAAATGTCATGTTTTTCTAACAGGCCATACCCAGATTAGTAAAGATCGTTTTCACTTTTGTACATTAAACCTTCACCTCCAATTGAATATCCTTTAAGAAGTTAAGTTAGATTAGAAAAAATTGGTGATTTTATGTTTTTAAGCTATATTAAATAATCTATTACAAGAATCGTACAAACATTTTGTCATTAGAGAATATATACTCGAAATACTTGAAATGTATTATATAGGAGATGACGACATCTTCAATATATTTTGCATGCCTCATATATTGCCTATATATATATATATATATAACCGTGAAGCAATTACCAAATACGAGTTCAATTACAACTTTCAGGTATAAGACAAAAGAAATCATTGATAAAGGAGCAGAATGGATCATTAACGAGGTGAAGACATCGGGTCTTCGTGGTCGGGGCGGAGCTGGTTTCCCCTCTGGCCTCAAATGGAGCTTTATGAACAAACCTTCGGATGGTCGACCTAAGTACGTAGTTTCACACCCAGTTTCTGTTGAAACATTTCAATTGTATAGAAGCGTAATTCATTCGTCTTTCACTTACAAACGTAATGATATGTTAACATTAAGATATGCGAGTCGCTATGCCCAACATGAGCTGAAGTAAATGGCATCTGTTAGAATATAGCTTTAGCTTAATAATACCATATTATTAATTATAATACATATCGATTTGCCTATCCACAGGTATCTGGTCGTAAATGCCGATGAAGGTGAACCCGGTACATGTAAGGATCGCGAAATTATGCGACATGATCCGCACACACTCGTCGAAGGGTGCCTCATCGCCGGCAGGGCAATGGGTGCCCGTGCAGCATACATCTACATTCGTGGAGAGTTCTACAATGAAGCCTCCAACCTTCAAATTGCTATTAAGGTCCGTATACTGCGGGTAGCAATGAATTACTGAAGTTTATCATATCCAAAAGGCCAGTTAGCTGTAAATTAGAGTGTGAGAACTGCTAAGACATGATGAAACGTATGATAATTTTAGCAAGTTCAAACATCATGGTGATCTGGTACTGTCAAAGTCAAGCTTCATGACCTCTGTGCAGGTCCGACTACACGTTCACTCCGCAATTGATATGAATGCGCTTAATTAAAATATTGTTTTTTATAACTATAATGTAATTAACTGTCTCACTTTGTTAATATTGTAGGAGGCCTACGCTGCCGGTTTAATTGGCAGAAATGCTTGCAATAGTGGATACGACTTCGATGTGTTTGTCCACCGGGGAGCTGGCGCGTACATCTGTGGAGAAGAAACCGCTTTAATCGAATCGATTGAAGGCAAGCAGGGCAAACCACGTTTAAAGCCGCCATTCCCAGCCGATGTGGGCGTCTTCGGATGTCCCACGACCGTCACAAACGTGGAGACTGTTGCTGTGTCACCGACAATCTGTCGCCGTGGTATGTGACGTTGTTGGAGTTAGTACTTCACAGTCGAGTTCTTGCTTCTGCTATTATTTTGTAAAATATAGCAGCCTCTGAATTTGGATTTATAAATCAATTGTCATATGATGCATCTTGAATTAACTAGTTTAAATTACTAACTCGGAGCAAAAATTAGCTTGCCAATGTATTAAAAATACTTGATCCTGGTTGCGCATCGTAGAATAGATTTACGATTTAGTATGTTTCCTGTACTATGTCCTTGCTGAAGGTGGAGCGTGGTTTGCATCATTTGGCCGTACACGAAACAGCGGCACAAAGCTCTTCAACATTTCCGGTCACGTCAATAACCCCTGCACGGTCGAAGAAGAAATGAGTATTCCGCTTAAGGAGCTTATCGAAATTCACTCTGGCGGTGTCATTGGAGGATGGGATAACCTGCTGTGCGTGATTCCGGGTGGCTCATCCACACCTGTGATACCCAAGAATATCTGTGATGATGTCCTTATGGATTTCGACGCGCTTGTTGCCGCACAAACGGGTTTGGGTACGGCGGCTGTTATTGTGATGAATAAACAGACCGATATTATTCGGGCAATTCATCGACTCATCGAGTTCTATAAGCACGAGAGCTGTGGACAGTGTACCCCATGTCGTGAGGGTGTTGGATGGATGAACAAGATTATGGCGCGATTTGTTAAAGGTTTGTTGCTGTATTACCGTTATGCTCATTCTGAAGCTCTCTCATTTAGAAAACACTTATAAACTGCAATTGAGGCACGCCATTGTAAGTATTGTCGAAAAAGAAAGAAACGATAGCGATTAGCCCATAATTTTAATAGAAGTACAAATTCACTATTGTACTAAGCTCATGATGCGTGGCACCTTTTCCTGCATCGTCATATTACGAATTTGATTAACAAAAATAATAGGTCGAATCATGAGCTTCCGTCTACACTGTGGACTTAAACTACTGTAAGATATTATTTTTGATAAATTACACGTGAAGTTAAATATCTACATAGAATTTGCTCATGCTTTGCTTATTTTTTCCAAATACAAACATTAATAGGTTTCATCGGTTAATTATAGCCGATGTTTTATGAAAATGCTTATTTTTCGCATTATTTGCTAAGTCATTCTTGGTTTCGTATCATCTGCTTATTACAGGCGATGCTAAATCGGAGGAGATCGACATGATCTACGAATTGTCGAAGCAGATTGAGGGTCATACCATCTGTGCGTTGGGTGATGGTGCAGCGTGGCCCGTGCAGGGTCTTATTCGACATTTCCGACCCATCATTGAAAATAGGATAGCGCAGTTCAATCGCCGGTCTGCTTCTGCAAAAAACTAGATGCACCAACTGAAATTTTACGGCAGAATATCTATGTCCTCTAGTAGTGACTTGGTTACAAACAAAACGTCATAATTAATAAATGGATTTATCCTAAATTTGCTTTTTCCAGTCAAACCCAAAGCGCATGACTCGAAAACCGAGTACAGAGTCAAAATAAATGATAAATTTCATCTGGAATTTGCAAAGATTAAAGACTGAACAATAACATTTGTAGGTAGAATGTAGTAAAAAGTTGTAAAAAAAGTTGGGTATTATCTGAAGTGGGTGGCTGTGAAACAAAAAAATAATAAAAAGTACATGTATACTACATTTTTGGTGTTAATCTTGACATTCATTATTGTTTCAACCTATTGTTTGCTACCTAATGAATATAGTAATTCGATTTTAGGCTAAATATACAAAATGAAAAACTTCTTTTGCATCCTACGAAAGCTTTTTCGCACTAAAGTGAAGCTGACGCGCGAATATGTTGAAATGATGGTTTCGATGTATATATATGTTGTGTTATTTATCCTACTAGTGTGGCACATCGAGTGCATATGAAAGCGGCTATGGATGGTCAAAAAAAATTCCCAGGGTCCTTCTAATCAATGCAGGGGAAGTATCTGAATATCAGGTGGAGTAAATGCCAAAGAAGATTCTTATGCGGCCATGAAAGGGTACGTAAGTTCAAAAAGTAATCAAAATTTGTTTGGACAGATCAACTGAACAGCTTATACCTTTTCAGCGTTAGCTCTGTGTCATATCGAATACATCTAATCATATTTTGATATCTACTCTGTTTAGAACTAAGCACATTACTGTCTCGGCTGCAAATTTTTAAAAAGTTATTTTGTTACAACAGTTCGGTTAATATTAGAATGTAAAAACATCTCTAGCGTACGTGAGTGATTTTTAATGAATACGGCTTCGTTTGTGTGTGTAATTTCTATCTCTGTGAATTTTCCTTCATTTGCCTCTTAGATTCTTAGCTTAGATGAATAGCAAAACTAAGTTTTGCTGTTCACAAATCGATCAGCTGTTTGGTCGAGGAATTGTACTTAAAGACGCAAGAAACCTGCCCTAAATGATCTACACCCTCCCCGCCCCACTCACGCCGCCTGTATTAGTGATGATGCTGTAACCCCTTAACAATGTTATCGGTTCAGGGCAAACTTGCATCCTTACTGTCGCAAATAATGAGAGCGTTCCAGTGGAAAACAAACTGGCTGTGCGGACTATGTACTTTTACCCAGTTTGCCAAATAACAGGCGCATAGCTCTGGCATATAAAGCGTTCCTTACACTTCGAGATAAACAAAAGTGGTTTCGTGTCATTTCTGCTATCAACCCCTTAAAAACGACATATTGGCAAGCACTAGATCTCCCTCTTAGGAGACGTTATCCTGGCCTTAAACAGAATTAAGTATATAACAGCTATAAAAGGGCAACTTATTTCTATGCTGCGTCGCTGAGTTTGTCGTTAACGTTGATGAACAAAGTTGATTACTCCGGCTGAACAAAGCAAATGCGGCCATAGCATTGTACTTTACGAACTTTTTGTCTACGCACATCCTCATCCTCCAAAAGTAATTTTTCTTAAAGACAAAGTAACTATATTTGTTGAGTAAGTTTTCGTAATCTGTGGAAAAACGACCTTTAAGTTCGTCAAGGTCGACCGCAAATATACAATCGGAACTAATTAAAATAATTGCTTTGCAAGGTGTTTAGTTAGGAAACACCAGCTATGCATCCACATTTCACATACTATAAAACAGAATCCAGCTGTCGAGTCTGTGACACCGGACAAACATTAACTCTCCCTCAGTTGTAGTTTAGAAACAAGATGTATTCCCATTATTACATTATTATTGTTATTATTTTACACACTTTTTTTACTTCGCTTCCCACTGGGCCTCATATAAAAGAACCCTTCCCAGCCTGACCAATGTGTATAAAACTACAGTTTCGTTTTAACGTGTCCACACATATAGATGACTTTTAAATACCCATTCTCAAGATGCTGTGAGACGCCCTAAACTGCTGCCATTTTGCCCGCGCACGCGGGAGCTTCTACATCGTGTACCAAAACTGAATCAAATGTTACCGCTAGTTTGCAGCTGTTGGTTAAGTCGTTATTCAACAAGCAACTGCTCATACTGTCATATTTCAATGACGCTACGCTGTTGAACACACCATCTTGGTTTGCGCTACTGTCTCGCGCGGTTGTTTACGCTCGGCGCTTCCCTCACCGCTGCGACTACCACCGCTCCGTTTGCTCTCACCTACACAAGCCGACACACATTCATTCTTCATCGCACGAAGATTCTCACGAATGAAACAAACGCCCGATTGCTTCTGCTCGGGCCAAACAGCATAATAAAATGCCGACTGATGAAATCCGCACCGACAACTAGTACATCGACCAGTCAACCGCGCTGCCCGTGTTAGTGATGATGCTGTAATCCTTTAATAACATTATTGGTTCAGGGCAAACTTACATTCTTACTGTCGCAAATAATGAGAGTGCTGCAGTGTAAAACAGACTATGTATGTAAAACTGTGTGGACTATGTACCTTTACCCAGTTTGCCTAATGACAGGCGCATAGCTTTGGCATATAAGGCGCTCGTCGCACTTCGAAATTAATAAAAGCGGTTTCGTGTCATTTCTGCTATCAACTCCCTCTTAAAAGACGTTATCCTGGCCTCAAACAGAATTAAGTATATGACAGCTATAAAAGGGCAACTTATTTCTGTGCTGCGTCACTGAGTTGGTCGTTAACGTTTATGAACAAAGTTGATTACTCCGGCTGAACAAAGCCATTGCGGCCATAATATCGTACATTACGAAGTTATTATCTACGCACACCCTCACCCTCGATGAAGTGTTTTTGCTTTCTAATGTGATTGTCATATGTACGGATTTTCTGTGCGCTTCGGCCCTCGCCCATATGCCTTAACGGTGCAACAAATGAAAGCCACGAACGAAAACAACTAGAATATTCCATGCGAAATAGTTCATCGGCTACTTTGACGAGGTCAGAATAGACAAAACATTTCGCGCATCTAGCCATTGCTCGCAAGCAAAAACGGTCACAGAACAATCCAAATTCGATAAACTGGCTCTGTAAAGGTCCTCTTCGTGAAGGATGCGTATGACTCACTCAACGGTAGATCACCTGCTCTGTCGTACGGCGACCCGACACGAAACTACTCCTATTCATTCTCGCGGAGGCTGGTTTCGTCAGAATAAAACTCGCGATGTATTGCCGCTGCGACTATTGCAGTTGTTCAAATCGTGTGCAGTTATAGTATTTGTATAATTTCGTTCAACGACTAATAACATTATAATGTTGTGGAGTGCCTCGCGTAACACGGTACCAAACCTTTGGGTAGATTCTTCGTAGTTCTATGCGCCGAGGAAAGCGTTATTGCATCGCGAGATTTTTGTTTGCATTAAACACAGCCGTGTATTCGGGAATGTATCCCGGCATTCATATCGGTGAAACAAAGCTTAAGTAGCGATTACGACCAAAACGACTTCAATAAAGTCCGCTGCTGTTGTGATACTGTTACGCTGTAAGTCTGTGTGGCCGATACGGCGGCGAATAAAGTAAGATTTGTAGTAGATTTAGCTAAAGTGGGCTAGGCTTCCAAATACACAACGGCAAGTGGAATCGAGTAAGAAACTCACATTGGTTGGCCCTTCTGGTAAATGATTGTTTAGCGGACAAATGCTGCAGGACGTCCTGTTACTGAAATTCGTTCCGCCGTTTATCAAGATCGGGGAACAAGGGTTTAGGGGAGGATCATAACAAAACAACAAGCATGTAACAAAGCTATCAAGATTTTACAATTTTCCTTTATTTTTATTACTCTTATAATGCCCATATAGAATATACTCATTTCGCTTGTATTTTCGACTACTACGAATGTTGAATTAGTCTAACAATACAATGAGCAGCAACACCATATCAATATGTCGATGTGTAGCAATATTGCTGATATCTTTACGAATTCTGAAATCTTAGGGTCAGTGGGTTGCAGTGTGTCTGTGTGGATGGATGTGTTACGCCTAGAGCCGACCTTGTTTTGTGCATCTACTTCTTAACTATAATGATTGCACGTAAACGACATTAATGCGACCAGTGGCCCGTCTGATCACGGTTCGAGTTAATAATTGAATTCTACTAAAGTTAGGTATATAGGCAGGTAAAGGCGGTCCGATAATCGGTTGCTTTAACTATTTCAACGTCAGTGATTGAACCATCTGATTCGTCATTCGCTACTGCTGTGGCCGTGCTGTTGTCGCAATCGAAGAGTATAGCTCCTATCTTCTTTTAGCGATGACCTGCTGCTAATGGTCATTTAAAACAAAATCATCTTCCGTTTTGGTAACTGGTGACTTTTTTCGGCGCATACATTGCTAAGTGTGTTCGTGACTGACCTGTCGGCGCTACAGCAACGATAACAACAGGCCAGTGCTATACTTGTGACACTATCGTGTTTCTTCAACTACCACTGGTTAATAATGATTTCGGATATCAACACCTCGTTTTATCACGGCATCAAATCAAACTGATCATTTCATTTGTTGTTTTGCCCAGTATATGATGTTTTCCTCGTCGTAACGACGACAAAACAGAAGTTGGAAAACAAATGATTGATAGTCGATTTTATCGTCAGCTGACGTGTATTGTTATTGGATAGATTAGGCGATTGGCTGTGCTGTCGACAAGGTTTGTGTGTTGGTCCGCACGAGCATGTGTGCCCTGTACCATAACTGATCCAGTTAACTCGAAGAATTCAGGGGTGCAATGTAAGTGATTGGCGGATAGTTGTCACCGCAACGAGTCGCTGCTGCATTGGAAGAAGTAAACAAAGCCACCGTGATCGCCGTGACAGCGATCCCGTATCTAACCGACTTGTCTGTGATGTGAAGACTGGTAAGCGCTTGCCTCGTCCTCGGCAGCCGTAATCGTGACTGTGCAACAACTTAACACGTGCTTGCAACTATCTATGTGACGTGACGCTATGCCCGGAGTAAACGTTTGTAAATAACAAAGTGAGACAAGAGTCGTAATCAAGCGAATTTTGTGGGGTCGAAAATCCGTCGACCGCGATAGTGAGACCGTCAAAAACGAAGAATGCAGTCGGTAGCTAGAGAGGACTCACGAGTCGAAGGAATCGGTGATGAGGTTCGTATGGACAAAGGCTTACATGAAATAAACTACCTCCATAGTTAATAACGTAGAAAAGCAAGGATTCGCACAGTAATTAAGTGACGTTGACCATTAAGTGATGTTGGCTAGCCACGCTTTTAAGCTCGATAGCTACTTGGCATGTCAAAAGAATGAATGCATTTTAGTGGCGGTAGATGTTTGCATAAGTATATTTATTAGGGGAGAAAAGATTACTACATGCTATGAGTCGATCGTAAACAACGTGCCTGTAAAGGGCATGCACCGTCCCGTTGTTGAGAACAAAATGCCCAACTATAACTCGACGAACCGGAATTGAATAGTCTATAAAATACCTTGTCAGTAGCGTGTTTAAGAGAAGTAGCGAGTTTAGATAACGATTGCAGATGTGATATATTTTTATACATTGTGGCTAAAATCTCTTCAGTGCTAGGCTCTATACATCAGCATTACATATCGCTGTTAACATATTGTTTACGCGAGAAATCTAGTCAGTAGTAATTTGCGTGTAAACATAAATATTTCAAATCAGCTTTGTTCCGCCGTTCGTGCATTCTGTAGTGGATACTGTTCCACTAGCCCTCTTTTCAGCTAAGGTGACATCGAAGATTATCATACGTTTGAAACCTATTTGTCATCGCTTTTAATTTAAGCAGCTGTGAAGTAGATTTTAAGACCCAGGTAGGCAGCATACGAGTCACGTGGAATAAACTCAATATATAATATATGAACGATTGTAAATAGAAAACTGAAGCAATTTTATTCCATGTAGAACAATGAAAACCGAAACGAAGTAGTTTTATGTAAAATTAAAATAATAATAACAACAGTGCTTTAATATGCGATGATTTCGCTGCGTGGCAACGAAACTCATGGTACTATCTAATTATCTGGAAGATCTGGAAAAACATGATCCCTTTAGGAATATTGATTATAATGACTGAATCAAATGGCTGCATTCATCCACGTGCCATAAGTGGATGTTAAATATACTTCATATACATGATGTTAGATGCAGTTAGTTATAATTGTTTTCTTGTCCAAAAATGTTTTTCATCTCACGAAAAAACTTCAAAGTCAGAATTTGTTCTACGTTTACTTTGAAAATTGCTAACGGAAACTATCGGGCGAAAGGTTGACAAGACGCTAATATTCTAACATTGCATTAACTGAAAGACTCAGCAACAACACTCAGTTGACCAAGACGGTAGGCTGTCTAGTCTAGTACATGTATCCTTCTTCGAGGCGTCTATCAATTGAATCTTCTCTAGATCCACACTCGTTTCATTGAGCTTCTTCATTCGCGAACTTCTGCAAGGTTGGACCGTGAATGGTGGGTTTGTCCCAACAATAGCTCGGAAACAGCTTCGTGTTTGACCAATTTAAATTACAAGGGTCGATAACACGTCGCCCCATGGCACATTCAAAAACAGACCGACTCAATTTTAAATCGGCTAGCATAGTTTAAAGTTGGTAGACCTTGAATAGTCCGGATTTTGTATAATAGTTAATTTTAAGAGCACATTTTAATAGAACATTTTCAATATAACTCATATATCCACCTCTTTATTTGTCAGATAGCATTGACACACTTTGATCGAAGCATGTACATCCAGACGTATGTAATGTTAGTACTGATCCCAGAGGATACCATGTTACTATGCTATACTCGTTTTTTCCATGGGGTATCGAATTTATTGCTCTCGGCATTTTGTGTTGCAGGCTATCAGTTCATTCGACCTAAAAACGTGAAGTTAAAAGGATCAAAGCTGCGGACATTGCAGAATGTGAGACCGGACAACTACCCTATGAGTTAGTTATTTGTTGCCTGTTGCTTTTATCAATTCTAACGGTCTACTCGAGCATTGTGATTGGAATTACAAAATAATTAGACTTTCAAGATGAATGTAGCGGTTTCCACCATAGGTGCTTAAATAGATATTCTGGAAACTATGCTGCTCCTTTTTTTTGGCATAGTATGTTCAATAAGACATGTTTGAGTCATTTGCCAATTTTCGACTTGCACGGGTTTCTACCTTACGTGAAAAACTCATTAGGTTCTGTCTTCATAAAGCCCCGGTATTAGAAATGCCAGTTCTGAAGTCCGTTTGAAAAATCTCATTTTTCAATTCCGGTAATACAAACAGCGACTGCAGACCTCAATGTTGTTCTTTCTATTTATTCAAAATATCTTTCGAGCTGATCTGCATTATAGTGATGAATTATCTGCATTATAGAATGCACTAGGCACTTTAAGCTCCAGCAAAATAAAATCGCTTACATGTTGCGATAATGGAGTGGATTCAGATCTACTGGTCGTCTAGTGCCTTACAGATGTTGCTGTTATTACTGGATTTTAACGAAAGATGTTGAGCTAGTCGTTTTTGTTTCGTCTGTGCAGGTGACAAGCGATTGACCCGAAGCACACCGATACTGCAGCAAACTCTGCTGCGATCTGTTGTTTTGCTACGTACTTCATGATACCCAGTGCAAGTGTATAACATCACAAACACAATTCTATGTTATGGTATGGTACGAGATTTCTTAATACGCTTAATTATTGCAGTCAGGGGAATAAAACAGCACAATGACCTTACGATATATTTCTTGTTACAAAGAAGCCATCATGTCTTTGTGTAGAGTTTTTATCACACGTCATTGAATTTTTACCAAAGCCTCAATGTTCCTGTCCGATTCCCAACGAGCCGTTCTCTTTTGGTTTATTTAGGCACTCTTAAGTTGTACCTACTACCTGGTAGCGTATTACCTAGCGTCTGCTCGTTTATTTTCCCCGTTTTTGCCATTATCGCCAGCCAGTTGCCAGCAGTGTCATCGGACGTTTCCGTATGGTCCTTGCGGTTGACGTACCCATATACGCATGTCATTATTATCCAAATGTTCTGGCTCGTCAATATTGACATTTTGCTTGCAACTGCCCCTCCCCCACGGCTCCTTCCGGCAGCCGCCGGTTGGGTGACGACTGTCATTTAAATACTAGTATTACGATAACTTGTTTTACTGTAATGGTTCGTACGACTTTTTTAGGAATGATAGATGATGTGTTTCGGCGCCTCTTACGTTCAGCGCGTAGTCCTTTTTCCTTCTATAAGTCTTTATAGCTTTCATCGCATAATTGATAAAAATGAACTATCTGGTGCTGACTTGTTAGATTTGGGAAGTTCAAACAGCAATATTAACACCAATATTTAAAAACAGAGTAACTGCAGTTGGTTAACGGCGCAACAGTAAGTGCCATAACAGCACTACTATGAATAGCATATATTGGTAGCCAAGCTTGAATGGGAATGGTGTACCTAAGCATTCTGCTAGACTAAGTAGACAGGGCCACTGGTTCGCCAATAAATATTTGATCTTGGATATTTAGTAGTTTGTAGTTCGTGTAATTTTTTAGCCACGTATTACTCAATCGAAAGATATTTTAGTGAACAAAATGACTCACGAAAACTAAGCGTCCACATTTGGTTTAATGTGTCTGTGGTTAGTGACAAGATGGTTTTCAAAAGCTATCCTTTTAAGGTGTAGTAATGGACTACCGAGATATTGTCGTCATAATGATTTTGCATGTCTGATTTCCTTACGGTAGCTATTGATACTGTTTAAATGAACTATGTGAGGGATCAACAATTTTAAAATAGGGTTGGTGGGACCTTCCAAATGACATAACAGTTAAAACCGGTAACGTAGATAGTGTCACTACCACTTTCTTTTGCAGCGTACAAACAATCCTTGAATAGTACATCCTCCTTTTCGCTACTGGCATTGTACCTACGCGAGGCTGCCTTTAGTAAAATAAAAAAAAACACTGATAATCTGAGTATTTTGCCGTGATTACACGGCGAAGAAATTGTCGAGCTACTGAAAGAGGGCTGAATAAAGTAAAATGGCAAAATCACCCTGTTCGAAAGCGCAAGAAGGGTAATTTTACTTTGAATTAAATACCGTGACCTGACTGTTTTTGCTTTCTTAAACAGTATTGTCTACCGAAACGAACGATTAAACCGCGGTAATAAAAAGTATAAATTATAAGCAAAGAATCAGAGGCGGGTTATGCTATGGGCAATAGAGAAAAAGTGAACAGACATGCTGTTGTTAAACGAAGCCTACTAGTCTTCCCGAGGTAAATTTCTTTCCAATTGTAAAAACAGTTCAGGCTTGCTTTGCGAACCCTATGCACCAAATCATTACTAACACACCGATATCGTGTGTCGAGCGAAAATCTTAAGGACTAGAAGAACGAACCGACGACAAAGAAGTCCTCAAGGATGTCTAAAATAAAAGGATTATGAAATCTTTCTTTGCTTTAAAGATGCGTGTAAGTGGATAGTTTAAACACTTGGTAAAAGCCTTGTGATGCCATAAAAGATCGGGAAAACTCACTAGTAACGAAAACTCACAGCAAATATCGTACTGAACATTGGCAACAAGTCACGCAGCACATAACTCATGTGCAGGCAGATAATTTCGGTAATCCGTCGGCCGACGCCTAAAAAATGAATACGTTTTTATTTTTAGATAGACCTATCCGAAAAAATGTCATAGGTTGAAAGGAGACGGAGAACTACTTGACTCATACAAAATATTAAAGCTATGACTAAGCGTGACCTTTCCGAGTTCCTGTAGCTTACACATAACGAGATTTCTCGTTTTGCTTTGTTTTCAGTAATGGTTTTCCAGGGATGGAGAGATGGGTAACAGATATGTTCTTTGTTTGCAGTTGCAAAGTTCAATCTTTACAGGACAGCAACGCCAAGCTGTTCAAAAAAGTAATTATCGAAGATATCCCATAGGGCTATACAGTTTCGCATAATATTTTTTAATCTTTTATATTCCTCGAGAATGAATGAAATTAAGCTTATATACAGATATAAGACATGTGTCACACCGATCGAAAAACTCAATTGGCTATGTAATGTGCGATAATCGTTCCAGTTACCAATGGTTTAAAATATTTTGTAGTTTGTTGCTTTAGAAGATCACCACGTCACCTGCGTGTACCACATGTTGCAACGATGACTTTGCAATGAGTTTAGTAAACTACTTATGATTATTTAGCCTTATTACCGACACAGCTGAACCGAAGGACGAAATATTACATATCTTGTAGTTTTTTGCGTAGCAGACATTATTGAAATCAATACATTTTTCGCTAAGTTTGTCTCAAAAGCAATTTGGTTATTGTATGTCTGTAGAAAAGCAGCCTTTGTAACGAGGTAGCTTTCTTTTTTGACAAATAACATTAACACTTCTCTAGAATGAGACAAGCTTGAGGTTAGTTTAGGAGGCACTGTTTTCCTTGGCGTAATTCATATTTTGTATTCTTCTCATGTGTATGTCTTCATTTTTCATGTGTATAATGTGTGATCAGAAATTCTTATCACACATTTCACACTTGTTTAATTTGCCCATTGAATCTGCCAGCATTGATCGTCGGTCTTTTGAAGCCGTGACTAGAACTATCATGATAACCCCCTTTGAAATAAGTTATGGCTGTGGTGTGTCGGTGAAGCTTGATTTTTTTTTGAAGGTTTCTTTCGAATTATTGTAGTGGGCGTAGCGTTCAAATAGAAGCTTGCGAGTATCAAGTACCGTTAAAAGGAGGCAACCATCAATTTTGATGCTGGCGTAATCGGCCTTCGCAGGTTCGCTACAGGTCTACATATGTAGAAAGGTTTGTTAGAATGATTTTTCGCGGGTCCATTTGGTTTTCCTGGGACATACAAAAGCTGCAAGAAACATCGGCGGTCATCCGACCAGAGTTCTTCACAGGTCCCGCTTTTTGTTCTGATTTGGAGTACAAGCCCTTCATTCCACCTAAATTACACTGAAGGGGACGCGTCTATGGTATCAAATGTGCTAATCAAACAATGATCGTTGAACTCTGTCGAATTATCGAAGCATCGTGGATGCTCTCTTTTCGCAATATGTTTTTCGACCATTTGTACCATCACACCAACATAATTCCTTTCCGTTGAACTACACAGCATTCAGATTGAAGGAAATAATGTAAATATAACTCGTTCTGATAGACGACATCTTTTTCGGTCTAACAGACAGTACCTTGGATTTGGAGCCATAAGGAAAACGTTTACTTTATAAGATAGGGGTGTGATTACGGCTTAATTTCCACTTGAACATCCGTAGTGAATTATTTCTGTTCGCGGCAAAACGATCTAATCACCCAAAGAATAAACGCCAAATAAACGCATCGTCTCCAGTGCGTGGCTATTCTATATCGCAGTTGTGACACGATGCTTACAGAAGCTCTATAGCTCACGTATAGTTTCACAGTTCGTTGATTAAGTGACTAAGTGATTGCTCAATATGGACTCCTGTAACATCATTTAGTACAGGTGCGTCGAAGGCAAAACGCGTCATTGAGCGAAATTTATGGTGTAATGACTAGTCATTTCAACAGTAAATAAATAAAATAGTAAAATACTTCAACAATGCTACTATATACAAACGAATACCGACGCAGGTTTCGAAGTCAGATTTGCTTGAGTATGTCCCAGAATTTATCTTGAAAAGTTGGATACGGTAAAGACAAGTTGAGGACGACATTTTTATGGGCTGAAGTGTACACTGAACACATAAGCAGCAATTCCTGTCTAGGAACGGAGTAGCGTCAGGGTGGCTGTCAATATTAGGTAGTTTTTACGTTGTTATGCTGCCAGGGTCAGTAATGTGGCTATATTCATTCGGCTTTTCAGGTAATCACCGGTTTCGTATTTACGACAATCTTCACCGCCGGTGTCGTGTACCAACTATGGTAAGTAATCGGGTAAAGGAACGCCTACTTAGTAATTTTACGTACAAGTAAGGAAAATTTAAGAGGAGACGTTTTCTCAGGGCGTTATTTTTTGTGGTGCCATGAAAGACGTTGATTTACTAAATGGATTATCAGCCAATTATATGTACCCTATTGTTCTTAACAGCCCTTTTATTTGGTCATGTTAGGATTGATTGAGGTCTTTAAACTCGTAATGACACTGCACGCATCGTAAGCTATCAGGTTGTATAACAATAGTGTTCCGAACGGGTACTATTTGATCTTAGCGATGACATATTTTAGTCTATTTCGTTTCTGCTAGAATTCAGAATACTGCAAACCTTTTTAGGAGCTTTGTAAAAAGCACAACGTACTAGTCATTTCGGTACCCAATAAGCAATATAAGTAGATGATATGACAGCCAAAGTGGAAACGCAGAACTCCACAAACTCTTTATCGTGACGAAAACTAGAATTGTTTAGTACTTGACAGGCTGCATATACGAACATGATCGTAAATCACATAATGGGCAAATTCGAAAGACCGTTTGTCCCACCCTTATTATTGACATCAGTTGTGTAAAAAGCGTAACTATATATCTCATGTGAAATAATTCTATATCTATTCGAATCGTCGTCCAAAACGTCGTTCTGCTAAACATTTAATAATTGGGGGCATTTTAGTTCATTTATGATTTTCCTTTTTTTCTGTTCACCGTGTTGTCAGGCGGACTATGGACATTACGTGGTTTGTAAATCTATGGCGACCAGGCGGTGCTGATGACCAGATGCCTCCCTCACAAGCAGCCGTTCCGCCCCGACTGGTAAGCCAACGGTCATATCTCAAATATGAAGGCAGTGCCAAGTATAGTGAACGAAAACCTAGTTCTGAAAAGGACAAATTCATACGCATGCGCGTTTTATTGTTTGTTGATTATCGTGACATAATCTTCAATGACGTATGACCGCTAGTGAATGAAACATAGAGCACACTGGGTCGTCATTTCGTGAAATTTTAACTGTAGACACATTGATTATCACAAAGCATATTGATTAAGTATAATATGGTGAACGATAATACGCAGCACTTAAGGTACTTCATCTTTCAGTTTCAGAATGGAAGAAAAAAATCTTTCTGCCGTTGCAGATACCCTTGATGGTGCAAAATGTTACGCTATTGCAAAGCCTTTAATATGGTTCTTAGAATAGATTCCGAAGAAGATTCGGAATAAAAAAACACGTCTCAAAGCATATGAAAGTCAAAAGCAGCTTATCACGCTGTTGGTAATGCGACCTCATTTTTCGCGATTTTTTTTCTCTATTGTTTCCCTATGTTAGTTTCAACGCGTCCTTGGGCCTGATGAAAAATGCTTCATTTGCTTGGAGGGACTTCGATTGCCCGTGGAGACAAACTGCGGGCATGCATTCTGCGCCATATGTTTACTCGACTGGCTCGAGGGGTCCCGTTCGAACGAGGTAAAGACGTCCTGTCCCGTTTGCCGATCCCACGTTTACGTCTTATTGAAGTGTTTTGCGCAGCCATCCGAAGATGATGAGCAGCAAATGCGACAGATACGAAGAATCAATCAGTACAACAGGAGACATTCGGGAGAGCCACGGCCGGTACGTGTTGATTGGTAACGGATTGAGGAACTGGTTCCGGCCGGCCAATATAAATAATTGCTTTATTCATAGCGGGATTTCATTCAACGATTCCTGGTTGCTAAACCAAAGACCTGGCCGTCCACGCCATATCACTAAATAGGTAATCTGCTATATATCTTCGGTACCCCAATGTACTTCAACGCTAATACGCAGTTAAGCCAGCAACGCGAGTGGTCTTCCTCTAGAACCTGCTCTTAGCTAGGCGCTGCACCAGCAAATAGTAGTTGTGTAACATAATAACTATTACCGTAATGGCAAGCATGAATTCGCCGACGCAGCAAATTTTGTGTTTACTTATAGGGATGTCATATTAATGATCTTCATGCGCGGTGCACTGCTTTTTCTCATACGGGTTAGATGATAGGCAACAGTTTGACGGACCTTAACTTATTTATACCAGATATTACTTAACTGTTGTTGATCTTTTTGGCAAAATGTTTTCTTTTTGCAAGAAGATATTATAGCACAACTTACTGTGTGCTACGAAGTTCAGCTAATTGCATTCGTGTTTACGTGTTATTCTTAGGACCCCCTACAGTCCAATATTCCTGCATTTTTTTTCATATTTAATTTTCATATTAGCTTTAACTGACTGACTTTTCTTCCATCTTGGTTTTTGCAGTGGATCGAGCACGTACGCGATTTGCCCCTACTGCTACGCCATGTCTTCAACGAGTTTTTTTCCTTGGGCGGCCTTATGTATATGTTTCGATTGCGAATTTTTCTTTGCTTTTTGGCCGCGCTCGTGTACCTAATTTCACCACTAGACATGATCCCCGAAGCGGTGTTCGGACTTCTCGGTTTACTCGATGACCTTTTCGTCCTCGTCCTATTAGGCGTCTACATGACGCTAATATATCGGCGGTTTCTTGCCGAACGCTGGACGCACGACTAGCCGAAGATGATCCTGTTGAAAGTGAAGGGAATGACAGGTCTGCTACAGGCGGTGTATGCCACACTGTCTGCAATCTTTTGCATTAATAATAATAATCTGACATCGTTCATGATATCCTCCGGCGCCCTCGTAGATGAACAAGAAATGGAAAGCTCAGGTAAAAAAGGATCTTAATGGCTACTACGCAGCAGATCGTGTGCGCAGTGGCGAAATCGCCTGGTTTCTAATTTCGTTCGAAAGCACTAACGCAATCAGTGACGCCGATCTAATCCAATGATTTTCCTGTCTTGTGATATCATTCGTGATCCCAAACGAGAAAAAACGAGCGTGTGTAGAGCCCCAACGGTATGACAACTAGTAGTCCCGCTAACGAAAACAAAAGGGACTAATTGCGAGCTAAGCAAATTCGCGGACGGGAAGATGGCATCAGCAAGATCGACAATTACAGCAACAAAGATTTAGTACATATATTTATACGATTATTAAACAACAATTGACAGTGAGATAACCACGTTTTCCTAAGTCATCTAGCGAGATTTCATGTATGTACATGTAGCACGGTATATAGCATAATGAGTACCTAAGTTCATTTAGTAATCGAATGTGATAATGGTTTTCTCTAATATGTAGTCCAAGTCGAGGCATGCTCAACAACAACCGGCTCAGCCACCGCTGGCAGAATGGAAAAGAACTAAGAATTTCCTTGCATATTAGTTTACGTGTGTTTTATGGGTGAGTAAGCTATTTACAGCATGCTAGTATCTGGGGCAAACGACTTGAGTAGCAATAAACCTGTGTGTTGAAGAATCTTCTAGGCTTATTGTAGTATACATTCTATGACATTTACCTCGTTGAGCGATAGTGGCACATTTCTCTAAATTTACTCAATCGCGTGTCGTTAATACTAAGAGAGCTCTAACAGCAGTACTTAATGATTTTTAGTGGTCACCATAATGTTACTTTAACTCCACGATCCTCCCCTTTATGTCCAAGTAAACGCATTGGCGCTTCCGGTGGTAATGGATTTCGTTTATGATTATTAACTATTGAATTTTAAAGGTGTGCTGCGTTATTTAACGGCATCAGCGCGATAATAGAGGGAAGAGAAACGTTTGATAGTCCTGAGAGACTGACAATCCGTAATAGACGTTGCTAAGAGGACAGAACTCAGAATAAAATACCAGATGACTTTGAACTATTTCAAGTCATGAGATGAAAGGGTATAGTGCCATCTTCGGACCCTAATGAAAATGATAGCACAGAATGGTCCAAAATGATCACGGTTTGAATACTAATTATGTTATACAGCCATAACGAGAATACGTCATTTTAACATATGCATGAGCCAATAAAATAATGAGTGTGGCTTACACTATCTACTTTGAACGCATATACAATGCACTGTCTTCTCCACTTTTATGGTCGCAGCGAATTTCAACGTCAGAACAAATCGACGGAAAAAATCCGTAATCAGTTGATTTAACAATATAATATTGTTAAATTAAAAGTCGCGTCTCAGTTGTCGTAGATAGTCTAAAGCACGTGTAGTAGTGATAGATGAAAATAAGGGAAAAGCAATTCTGAGTTTAAAAAAATCACTTGGGGCGATTCGAGGGGTCGAACCTGCCTCCTATGAGTTGTAAGAATAAGAATTTGGTCAATGATTAAATGAGTAACTATGCCTTGTTGTAAGTTGCAATTAACGCAACCGTAGAATCCACATGTATAAGAGAGACGCTTCCAGCAGTCGTCCGATGCAAATGACAATACGCTCACTGAAAATATATGATCATGTTCTTGATTTTAATTAACTTGCTAACTAACTAATTAAATCTTTCTGATTTGATACCGGCAAGCACGGCAAGGCATTTCTAAGCGTGCTCTATGCTATAACATTCTTTGGCTGGGTGTTAATTTGCTACCGAGAACATAAACATGACCTCCAGCTCCTCTCGATCAACGTGTACGATTACCAACTACTATAATAACAAACCGAAATCAGTGGCACAAGGACTGTCGTATAAATTTCGAATTCACAAATCATGATAATATCCAACTACGATCGCGAATTTTTACTTGAAAGGAGCTTAAATTGTCTAACAACAAACTTTCTGTTAATAAAAGCGCCGCTGGATATGTGTGTACGTGTTCAACATAATACAGAAATATTAAACAATTTCTAAGCAGATGCAACCTCTGCAGTTCTTTTTAAAATGACTGGAAGGGCCTCTTCTACAAGCTTTAGAAGACAAAGCACATTGGGCAAGCAAGAGCGATATCACAAGTTATACACGTTACCCATTTAAATCAGACTGCTAGACAAAGACCAGATTCTTTTTTGTTAGTAAAAATCAGTATTGCCAGATCAATGTTCTTTATGGTACAATAATTCCAGTGAATGTGCACTAACCGAAACTTTCGTACGTACTGTATCTGTATAAGTGTCAAAATAGACATTTTTTGCCGAGTGGACTAATAAGTGGACGCCTGATCTAATTTTTTTGCTTGCTTTATCTAATCATGATAATTATAGCAATTTATGATATTAAAGTTACTAAAAAAATACAACATTTTCACTGAATAGAATAGAGAAATCATATATGCAGGTGATTAAATGCCCGTGTCCGTCAAAGAAAGCGAAAAGGTAAAGAAAAAGAGAATGTTCCAATGTTACAGGACATTCTACGAAAGTGGGTGAAGCTGATAACGACGCGTACACGCCTTGATGATAATCACGAGCGATACCATGACTAAGAAGATGTTGGTATATATATAAAGTAATAAATTATTTTGGCTGGCAGCAATGAGTGTGCTGCTAGGGTGTTTATAATTGTTTGGTGTCTTTACTATATATGAAAAATAGTTGTAAAAGACATTGAAACAGAAAGTGATTCAGAGACGCATCTTCTCAGGGAAACCAGCATATATCTACTACTGTTCTATCGGAAGCTGCCGACAAGCTGAGCTAAAATTCTCTATGTGATTTTACACTATTGAAACCTAGTTTGCACGGTAAAAAAGACCCATATGCACTTCCCCTTCACATGATGTTGCCTAACTTGGAAACAGGGGATACACAGTCTTTGAAACGAAGGGCATGGATTTTGAAGCAATGCCCTACTACACTTTTTTTTCATTTTTTCCCTTTTTGTCAACAGTTCGAAACAAAGGCACTACCGCAGTTAAACAACGCAATAACCAAGAATATTGCTTCATATACGGATGAATCATCTTCTTTTTTAATGATTTTCAATTCAGTGATGCAATTTTTCTAAAAAAAAATCGGTGCCCAACCCCTAGTACTATCTGGGAGTATTGAATCAATACTCGAACACTGGCTTAGTCAAGCTAACTTACATAATTTCAAACAAATACTTGAATAGGTAAAAAAACAAGTGTTTGCTTAATTTATTTTTTACTTGTATGTAAGCATATTTCGGCAGCTGCAACGGCTGTGAAGCTTTGATTATGAAATGCACTTTTTCATGTTGTAAAAGTTGTCCTAGTTGAACTAGGCTATATTTTGACGCATACTATAGGGCAACATGCCCTTCTCTTCTAAATGTAGCAACCATACGTTTATGATGACTTAGGTAGGGGCGTGTACTTATATTATGGAAATGTAGATGAAGAATGAATGAAAATATGGAAATGTATACAAATACAACAAGATCATATGGCATTACATATAGCATATATATATATATATATCATACAACTATCTACTATCACGTATATATGATATAGCATTGTTACAAATTTTGCTAATAGGTTTAATCGATGATGATTATTTTCAGGAAAGAATTGTTTAAAGCTACTACGTTTGAGCTCCTCATAAGTTTAGGTGAAATATTACTGATGGATCATAAAGATTTCGAAGTGCGCACATTTTAAAGAAGATTAGCAACGGCTTTAAGCAAGCGGTATGAAACTAGGAAAAAATGGATTGCTAGTTCTAACACATTCTTATCCTGGAACTGCCATACTGTTAAGCATCCTAACTGACAGAATCAATTGTTTTCGCTTCGCAGTCCACCACAGAGATAGAATAGGTATTCAATAAAAATGGCAGCAGCGGATTACGGCGAAGATTAGGGCTACGATCTAATTCCAAACTTGTGAAACACAATTGCCTTTCGCTATTGTGGAACATGTGGCTACGTGACGGCATAACGGTTTAAGAAATTAATCACAAATTACGACACGATTTCCAGCGTTTGGTCATCATGTATGATGATGCTGTACCCTAATAAATGGTAAAAGAAAATGTTTCTGGCTTCTGTTACGATTTCTAATTGATTTAATTGGTTGATTGCACATTGAGTGCGTCTGTAGATAACGGCAACTTACCTATGTGTTCGGGCGGCAGGTCTCATCCTCTTCTTGTGTCGAAACATAAACCTGCTGTTAATATGCCGTTCAACGTGATTTTTGATAATACTCGGACTGGTACTTGCTCCTCAATGTTCCATATCGTTCCCTTAGGTTTTGCTAGTTTGAGATGTATGGAATCGTCGCTCTTGACATAACTGCTGAGGTTGTTCATTGCGATTGTGAAGTTGATGGGTCCTATGAATCCCCGGAAAAATGTTTTAGCCATCACGTTGCTCAAAATATTAACCATATTAAGGTGTAAATAAAGCGTGCATTTTCTATAGAACCTGTTCAAGCGGAAAGACGACTAGAGCATTATTGTAAACCGGCCCGCAACAGTATTAAGGTTATAGCAATACGCTGCTTTATTACACAAACCATGTAGAAGTAGCTACGGCCTTATGTCCAATCGTACGGGTTTCGCGCAGGGCAATGGGTAAGGCCATCCGGGAAGAAACAAAAACCGGTGGGCGGCAAAATTGCATTATATGTCATAAAAAACAATGCTTTTCATACGGTATGTTCTTCTCTTGATGTTGCTAACTCTAGTTATACTGCAAGTTATTGTAACAAACCGAAGTAACCAATAACATTACCAAGAGGCCAGAGAATAGCTTTCATTACGTTCCGTTTTGCGCTTACGTTTGAACCATCGAACGACAGTGATTCTCCTATGAACCAAACATATAAAAAAAAAAGAGGTTGTTTGCTAATTTTAAAAAAACCAAACAACTGCCATGTTTCCATATTTTTTTTCATATTGGTTTCATCTGTAAAACTGAATATATCAGAGGACGATTTGTAATGACTATCACGCGATACGCTTTGACTACTGGCTGTAGTTTCGACTTGTGCGTATCCTGAGTGATATGTAAAATAAAAGGAAACGAGTGCAAAATAAATTGATATTTTACTTCGGAGACTGGTGTTTGTCAAATGACGGTTATAATCTACAGTGATACTCAGTCTGGCCTACTATCACCACAAAAATATTAAGGACATTAGTTAAATAAACCTAACGAGTGAGGAAAGGAGAACCAGAAAGTGCCGATTTGGTCCGAATTGTCATTAACAAATAGTCGATGATATAATTTTTGTTCAAATAGCTGCTATTTATTTATTCAACTTCTGTGCGCTGAAGGGCGGGAAGATGATTTGAGAGAATTGAAATCACAATACCCTCCAGCTTACACAGTTGACGTGATTGAACCAAAGGACGCGTTTTGTTTCGTATTAGCATCGTCATACAACAATTAAGAGCTCAAACATTTGGATAAGCTATAAAAAAAGTTTAAAGAAAGTCCTCTCTACAGTTGCAACTGAGTTGTACAAATGAAAAATCACAGAGGCTCCGATTGGCTATCACGGTGAATTTGTATTTTGTTAGCGGGGCGGAAATTCCTCCGTAGAAAAACGGGACAGGTTTACATTGATCTTTTATACATACTACAGGAAGATATAGTACGGGAATAAAGAGAAGCCTCTATAAACACTTGTTGCTTGAGGTCATTCCCTCAACAAAATTCCACTTCGTCTCCACTTCGATATCGTCTACTGTAACAATCCACTCGTATTTTGGGTATTACGATCACTTTTTGTTCGGTTTTGAGCGAATCCGATCATACCTTTTTTTGGGCTAGATTTATTTTACAGCCAGAGTTCTGTATTTTTTTTATACGTAAGCGCTTTTTCAAAAAATTATTTTGTTTATTAACTAATAGTGGTTTATAGCGGATTGGATGCACCCACGACTAGCCACTGTTGTGCATTTTTTTGCTGAGGGTTCGGATTTTCTGTCGAGCTCTGCTTTGTTGACGAGACCGTTGCCATCCTCACGTTCTGCTCTTCAACATGTTCCCTAAAATTTTGCTTTAGTTTTTCGAGCTTGACGGTGGCCTGTTTATACTTTTGCCACATTTTTCCTTCATTTAGGATTAAATATATTATCGATACGCATGCGACAATACTTGGCCGCGCTAGTCACGTGTGTAGCTGAGACCGCCCTGGCTCTAGGGTAGTTTTTCCTTAAAAGTCTGCATGGGTGCTCAAATCCAGGCTTACCGACCGGCTGCTGAGACCACATCCGTTGAGCCCCAAGCTTACACACCCTCGGCGTTCCCTGCAACATATCGCCTCTCCAATTCCAATTCTCTTGAATAGAATGTTTTTGGAATTCGGTAAACTTCACAACTAGTCACCTTTACATTAATCCGTTAATATATGCCGAGGCTGATACGGAAGGGCTTCAGTATTCACATACATATATATATATATATATATATATATATATATATATATATATACAGTACACATATATATATATATACATATATAGATTAGTAAGAGAGTAATTCTTTATTAAAAACATACGGATTATACGAAAGTTATTATTTTGTCTATCTTTGTCTGCAATGAATAATCAGGAAGCAAAAAATGAACGAATAGTAGGTTTGTTCATGATTACCTTGCGATCGTTAATACTGTAACTATATCACAAGCGTCTTACGGCCTGTAGGAAAACCTAAAGACTTTATAGTCTAAATCCTCATCACCACTCTCAGTATTTATCCTGTCACTTGTCAAATCCAGCAACGATATCTTTTAAGAAAATATCTCATTTAAGACCGTCTTGACATCTCGGCCTACAATATCGCGTTACGTAATGCATGCTCTGCCGACACATTTTAAGTTCGTACAACCTGCGGAGAGTCGCACTTCAAAAAGCTAGACTGGCGATTTCGAATATAAACTCGAATGTTTTAAAAAATCTGTGTGGTTATTGATTATTAGGGCACCCCTATAACCAACCTCTCGTTTCGACTCCTCTGTTAAATCACAGATTATTTTTCTGCGCTAAACATTTAGCAACTCGATAAAATGTTCGCTAGTAGTGCAAGAACGACAGGTGCCAAATATCTATTATTCTGCGCTGAAGATGAGCTGAAGTCGTCGTTACGGATATATTACGACGCGAGTGGCTGAAGCCCATAAATCAAATGCAGCTTACCGAAACATGTCAGAACTTTGAGCTTTTCCAGCGTCAAATGCAAAGCTTTCGAATATAAAGCGGAATGATCCTGGGACTGATTGGGATTAGAGCCTCAAAGGCCTGATAAGGTAGAGCATCCAATGCAACAGATGCACCGAGCAAGGGACCATGCTATGTACAACAGGTTTCAAGCACGTCACCGCATTTTGGACCAATACATGGTAAAACAACAGATAAATGATTTTTTTTATAAGAATCAACCCATGCTTTATTGAGTTTAAACTCATCTGCTCATAGAAGAGTGGTGGCTTTTTGGGGGACTATTTATTGCAGCTATCTTTTACAAACAAACACTGAATATTATAAATACTATATAAGGTATCAATCAATTAGATTTCACGGAATAAAATTTTTAATTATGTTTCTTTATTTGATAACATTTATCGTGTCGCATATGTCGTTAGAGTTTCGTTTACTTATTAACTAAAAAGCATATGTGAGTGGATTGTACTAGACCGCCGACTAGTGATAATCGTTGCGCTGTTTTAACAGAACTACTAGGCCGAGCAATATGCTTTCATTCAAAAATGTTTATCTATTGTGATTCTAAATACAAGTAATATTATACTTCCTAAATGAGTGTGCCTCTTCTGTCTTCGTAGGACCGTAAAAACCGTAGCGCCAGTAGTTGAACCGATTTTACGCTACAGATGCTTATATGTGACATCGCGAATTTCTATTTTATTAGCTTGTCCAATCTGTTCAACATTGCTAGATAGTGTTTTTTACCACGATCGCGATCCATTAACGATAGGTAGATATACAAAGAAAGAAACGGGAGATGACAATTGTGTCTTCAGTATATATATATAATGAATGATCATTAATAATAATAACAAAACATTGTTCAGTTTCTGCGAAATGTCTGTCAAGCATGTTTATATTATCTGAAATGAGCTTATGGAAATAACGTGATAGAAATTAAGTATGGTAATAAAATTTTGAAAGACATGGTATTTTCGAACTCCAGCGTAGTTAGTGTTCTGACTATTGTTCAATGCCTAAACGATACCCAAATGACTAAAAAAAGACGAATAAATTATGAATAGATACTTATATTGACCCTGTACAAAATAATAATGGGGTTTGTTTCATATTTGCAATACTACTGCCATATATAAACTGTTATCTCAAGTATGTGCCCACTTTGATTAGCTTTTGGAACTTCTTTAGTGAATATCTCATAGCCATATCATTGCACCTAGCCTAGAGAATGAAGTGCTGTCCGTTATGATCAAACGGAATGGCAAGATGGCTTGGAATTTAAACAGTCATCAAACATAAATGAGCTGTCAAGCGTCTCAAGGGAGTAGGACGGGAGCCAATTGGCTAAGTATGCAGAACGAAAAAATCTCTCGATGGCGGGGGTTGTGTAGACGAAGTAGGATGTAAACTTTGTTGTACGAAACAGTCCCACAACGTTTCTGGTTCTGACGAATCATTTTCAGTCTATAAGAAACAGCAATGCATTTCCGATCTTACATCAAGCAAAAAAGTTGAAAAACAAATAACTAGGAAGCAAAATATTCGGTGTCCGCACGCTTTTTCTTGACAAATTAGACCAAGCCTCCGTAAATTGGAAGTTATTTATGGAAAAGTAGCTTGTCTTGATGTTATATTCGAGCTTTCCGTTATAATAAATAAATTCCCGTTACGAATATATTTGAAACGCTTTTGTGACCCATAGTTCAGCTAACAATTTAAAGACGGCTTATAGATATAGCTTTAAATTGGAAACCAGTTTAGATAAGGACTACGCATGGTTAACTGATGAAGGCACACAGATGTTACAAAATAAATCTGAATTCGTAAAGCACAGTCATTAAAATGTCTCTGATTTTCAGTTTTCGCGGTTAT